ACTCTCCATCCTGAAAGATCCTAGTGTGTGCTTGCAGGGAGGAAAGAAGGGAAGCCGGCAGCACTGAGGGGGGTAGGGGCACACAGGGGGACCTGGGCAGCAGGGGGGATGATAGTTGCAGTGGGGGGCAATTACTGGAACCGATCCCCTGTATGGCCCTCTCTACAGCAGTTGCAAGCCAGCCGGGAGGGGATCCAGCTTTTAGCTGCTGCAGAGAGAGCCATACAGGGGATAAGTTCCAGTAATCGCCCCCCTACTGTGCTGATCACCCTCCCTGCCCACATCCGATTCACCCGCCTGGGCCCCGTACAGGGCTGGTGGTACCTATTTATCCACGGCCCTGGGTAACATACATAGAGGTAGCAAATGAAAACAATATCCTGATCCAACTTATAAATAGTTTCCATTCCTCTTGGGGTAGTCTCATATACCAAAGACAGTTCTATAAAGTGATCATCTGTTCTGCCTGTGTAGAGTTTGCATTTTCTTGTCCTTTTGTGGGTTTCATCCGGGTACTCTGGTTTCTATCCACACTCTAAAGACATGCTGGTAGTTGAATTAGCCCCTGCCCTAATTGGCCCTAGAATGTTTGTGCATGCACATTTGTGAGATAGGGACCTTGGATTGTAAGCTCCACGAGGACAGGGAGTGATGTGAACAAATTGTATTTAAAGCATCGTGTCATTTTTCTGCACTATATAAATACCTGGAATAAATAAAAAAAGAAATAAAATCTGCTCACCCTTTCCAATCATTGGATGAATTATTGGAATGAATATTTATTTACATGGCTATGTTGTTTTCTATAGACTGGCAGCTCAAAGAGCAAAATATTTAAGAGAGAAGAATGAATTGATGCTGTCTTACAAGAGCACCCTGGACACGCAGGTAATTTAGGGTTAATATAATAAATATTTATCAGTAGAGGTTTTATATACACACATATATATATATATATGAACAGGGCAATGATAGGGGGTAGAGCTGGCCCTCCTGTTCCGGGCCCCATCAGTTCAGCAGGGAGCCCAGCGCATAGAGTGGACTCTTTAAATACCTTTGGGTGCACATACAGTAATCCCACAGGCTTTGGCTCCCAGTGATTAAATAACAGTTCCCCAGGCCCCATCAGTTCAGCAGAGGTGGCTGGGGACAGAGAGAGAACTGTTTATTCATTTTGGGAGCAGGCTGAGTAATCCTGAGTATTGCGACTTCCGACAATTGAATTAAACTTACGTCCTCTTCTATATCAATTTAGCGGGGCAGGCCGGAACTTTAATTTAATTGTCAAGAGCTGCAGCATGGAGGATTACTCCTCTTGACCATATAATAGAGTACATAGTCCCCTCTGTAACCCTGCTGCTAAACTGGTGAGTTCTTATATTTAATTGCTGGGAGCCGTACCCAGTGCGATTAACGCGAGTGCACAATAAGGTATTTAAAGTCCCTTGTCCCCTATTGGTCATGCTGTAAGGGGGGCCCTGTAAGGCAGATTGTATGGGACCCCACAGTTTCTAATGGTGGTACTGTTTATGAATATAGGAATGGGAGGAATGACAGGTTTTGTTTCCATAATACATTTTTATTTGTTATTACAAATATAGTTACAACAACAAAAAAAACAAAAACAAAAATAGGACACTGAAAAGCTAAACAATATCACAGTGTAGGTGCTGCGGTAAAGTTTAACAAAGAGAAAAAAGGATATATTGAATAATTCCTAACAGTCCTACTAGTTCCACAAAATAATCATTTTAGAGTATCCAAGAAAAGGTTAAACATAATAATATCTTAGGTTCCAGTTCTGAACCAGTCGGACCGGGGAGTCCAAGCTTTGTCAAATTTGGTAATTCTATCGTTTAGGTAAGCTAAAGATTTCTCATAGATGAAGTGGGTCTGGACTCTATCAGTGACTTCTTTTAAATGAAGTGGGCCTGGACTCGCTCAGTGACTTCTTTTAGATGAAGTGGGTCTGGACTCGCTCAGTGACTTCTTTTAGATGAAGTGGGTCTGGACTCTCTCAGTGACTTCTTTTAGATGAAGTGGGTCTGGACTCGCTCAGTGACTTCTTTTAGATGAAGTGGGTCTGGACTCTCTCAGTGACTTCTTTTAGATGAAGTGGGCCTGGACTCGCTCAGTGACTTCTTTTAGATGAAGTGGGTCTGGACTCGCTCAGTGACTTCTTTTAGATGAAGTGGGTCTGGACTCGCTCAGTGACTTCTTTTAGAATGAAGTGGGTCTGGACTCTCTCAGTGACTTCTTTTAGATGAAGTGGGCCGCTCAGGACTCGCTCAGTGACTTCTTTTAGATGAAGTGGGTCTGGACTCGCTCAGTGACTTCTTTTAGATGAAGTGGGTCTGGACTCTCTCAGTGACTTCTTTTTCTTTTAGATGAAGTGGGTCTGGACTCGCTCAGTGACTTCTTTTAGATGAAGTGGGTCTGGACTCGCTCAGTGACTTCTTTTAGATGAAGTGGGTCTGGACTCGCTCAGTGACTTCTTTTAGATGAAGTGGGTCTGGACTCGCTCAGTGACTTCTGGACTCGCTCAGACTTCTTTTAGATGAGGTGGGTCTGGACTCGCTCAGTGACTTCTTTTAGATGAAGTGGGCCTGGACTCGCTCAGTGACTTCTTTTAGATGAAGTGGGTCTGGACTCGCTCAGTGACTTCTTTTAGATGAAGTGGGTCTGGACTCGCTCAGTGACTTCTTTTAGATGAAGTGGGTCTGGACTCGCTCAGTGACTTCTTTTAGATGAAGTGGGTCTGGACTCGCTCAGTGACTTCTTTTAGATGAAGTGGGCCTGGACTCGCTCAGTGACTTCTTTTAGATGAAGTGGGCCTGGACTCGCTCAGTGACTTCTTTTAGATGAAGTGGGCCTGGACTCGCTCGCTCAGTGACTTCTTTTAGATGAAGTGGGCCTGGACTCGCTCAGTGACTTCTTTTAGATGAAGTGGGCCTGGACTCGCTCAGTGACTTCTTTTAGATGAAGGGGGCCTGGACTCGCTCAGTGACTTCTTTTAGATGAGATGAGATGAGGTGGGCCTGGACTCGCTCAGTGACTTCTTTTAGATGAAGTGGGCTGGACTCGCTCAGTGACTTCTTTTAGATGAAGTGGGTCTGGACTCGCTCAGTGACTTCTTTTAGATGAAGTGGGCCTGAAGGTGGGCCTGGACTCGCTCAGTGACTTCTTTTAGATGAAGTGGGCCTGGACTCGCTCAGTGACTTCTTTTAGATGAGGTGGGTCTGGACGTCGCTCAGTGACTTCTTTTAGATGAAGGTGGGCCTGGACTCGCTCAGTGACTTCTTTTAGATGAAGTGGGCCTGGACTCGCTCAGTGACTTCTTTTAGATGAAGTGGGTCTGGACTCGCTCAATGACGTCTTTTAGAGAAGGAGCTAAGTCTTTTTTCCCGTGTCTAGTAATGGTAAGTCTTAATGCTAGAAGAATATGTGTCCCTTAGGGCTTGTTCACACTTGACTTTATTTCTAACTCTTGCCAAACGCCCCTATAGCATTTGACAGGCGTTTGGGAAGCGTTTTTAATGCTCCTGAAACGCTCCCCAAACGCCCCATGCGCGGTTTTGAGGTGGTTGATAGGCGTTTTTCCAAGCGTTAAAAATCGCACCACAAACGCCTATAATGAAGTTAAATGGTATTATTAACGCTCCGCAAACACGTCACAAACGCCTGGCAGGTGTTTGAGGAGCAGCACCATAGACTTGAATGGGAGGCTTCAACTCCTCCTGACTAGACAAGAGGCATAAGTTTTGCTGCAACGCGACACTAACGCTTCCGTATGAACAGCACTGTGTGCTGCCATGTGCAGAATTTTCATTGGCATTTGAGAAGCGTTAAAAAAACTTCCCCAAATGCCTGTCTGATACCTGCTGACAAAGCTAGTGTGAACTGAGCCGATAATGGATTGGATATATGTCTATATTTATATTCAGAATGGCTAGGGTAGGATCTGGTTGTTTTAATATCCCAGTAATTTACAATATCATGTGGAAAACGTTATACCAATAGCTACTAATATTTTTACATGCCCATAATATATATAAGAGTACCAATCTGACTGCAGTTTCTTCAGCTTTGAGGACTATGTTGTTCTAGAAATTACAGGTTTTAATGGGATCAGAAGGTTTGTTTTCAAACTTTACCTGCAGTGCCACCTACTGGTGAAATCGCTGAAAACCATCTTTGAATTCAGTGGTGATCAACTCTGACTCCAAAACTATGCATTAACTATGCAGTATTTATAGATGTGAGATGATTAGCATTGCTCTCTTACACAGGTTAAAGGAGAACTGTACTAAGGGAAATATGTGAGCTGCTCTGGATGGATTGTTCTGAAATTGCCATTTGCCTGGCTTTCACACATCCATTAGCTTTGGTACATTCTGACCTGAAACAAGTATCCAGATGTCTTTTTTTTTTTACCACTCCTGCCACTAATTCATGCATGCTTGTTCCTGTTCAGAAAGTATTTTTTTTTTTTATTGCTTTGCTAGGTTTTTTTTTTTTTCTTCCTCTGGATCAACTGTGTGTGTAGGATTATAATTTTTTTTTTTTTTATGGTTGAACTGGATGGACTTTTGTCTTTTTTCAGCCAGACTATGTAATTGAAAGCTCTGATGGGCAGGGCCCTCTGAATCCTCCTGTATTAATTTGTATTGTAATTGCACTGTCTGCCCTTATTTTGTAAAGCACGGCATAAACTGTTGCCACTATATAAATCCTGTATAATAATAATAACATTGAAGCCAGGTTTAGCCTGGAAACTAGAAATTTTCAGGAGGTCAGCAAAAGCAGACCCCATATTTCTCTCAATACAATTTCCTTTAATGCAGCTATTCTGCTTCCTAGTAATGAGGAAAACATGCATTCTAGGAAGACAATGTAAACCGGAGCCGAACGCCATTGATATATGGCAACCATATGACGTTATATATAGTATGGGTGCAAATATTCACACAGGGACCTATGAAATCCTATTAATCCGTTGTCACAGGTCAAAATGAAACCAAGCTTTGCTCCCCGTCCTGAACCCGAAATGACAGAGCCGGTATTTGGAATGAATGATATGACCAATGAAAAGCTGGCAGAAAGGAAAAGGCGGGCCCAGGAGGTCTCTAAGCACCAGCTGCAAGCCGCCGCAGAACGCAAGCGCTTGGTTGTACTCAATGATCTGGTGCAGCAGAGGAAGGAGTCAGACATGCTGCAGTCTACTAAAGAACTGTAAGTAAAATATTCCTTTTACAGTACAACATAAAGTTGCTTGGAAAGGTCAACCCACTTAACTTTGTGATTTCAGATTTAGGTGGATGCATTTACTCCTGGCTTCTCATATCTTTCTGGTGCTTCCGTGGTGACAGCTCTACATCTTCTGACTAGCAATACCATGCTTAGCTAAGTGAGACTAAAAAGATAGTCAGGATCCTCCCAAAGAGCTCTTCACATACTTAGTTTTTATTACAGGTACTTGTATAGCGCTGTCAATTTACACAGCGCTTTACATATATATTGTATATTCACATCAGTCCCTAACCTTGAAGGGCGTACAATCTAAGGTCCCTAACTTACATTTATACATATACATACTAGGGCCAATTTAAACAGGATCCAATTAACCTACCAGCATGTCTTTGGAAAGTGGGAGGAAACTGGAGTACCTAGAGGAAACCCACGCAGGCATAAGGGGCATGCAATCTAAGGTCCCTAACTCAGATTCATGCATACACATACTTGGGCCAATTTAGACAGGAGCCAATTATCTACCAGCATGTCTTTGGAGTGTGGGAGGAAACTGGAGTATCCAGAGGAAACCCACGTAGGCACAAGGAGAACATGCAAACTCCAGGCAGGTGGTGCCGTGGTTGGGATTTGAACCAACGACCCTAGTACTGCCAGACTGAAGCGCTAACCATTTAGCCACTGTACTGCTCATAGTCTGAATTAATTGGAGAAAATAATCACTATTACCTAGACAGGGCTTTTTTTTTTCTTAGAGAATAGTGCAGGAACTCTGTCCTTCTGCATCACCCTTGTCTCTGCCCCCTAGCCACCTTTAAGTACCGTTCCTTGGTTTCACCCCCTATCCACCTCCTAGTACTGCCCCTTATAGAGAATACAGAACCAAGTATCATTTTATAGTGCCAAGTAATTTGTATGGAATTTGTTAATGATAACAAGAAAAGCAGTGAAATAGATCCCCTGCAGCCAACAATAAGAGAGGACCCCCCCCCCCCCCCCCCCAACCAGCAACAATAGATCCATCCCAACAACAATAACCCCCGGCAGCAACATCAGATGTCCCAGCAGTCAGCATCAATAAACCCCTCCCTCAACATTAGATCTCTCCCAGCAACAAATGACCCCCCCCCCCCCAGAAATATAAGACCGCCTAGCAACAATAGATCCCCAACCAACAGCAACAGAACTCCCTATCTCCATGCAAATACAGATCCCCCAGCAACAATAGATCCCTCAACAGCCAGCATCAATAGACCCTCCAGCACACCCCTTGCCATTACATACATCTGGAGATCCAAGAACTGAGTTCCCCCAGTTCCCGCTGAAAAAAAGCTTGTACCTAGAGAACCCTTTTTCAGATTTTTTACCCTAAAAGAATCCTTGGAATAATTTAAATGTCCCAAAGAATGCCTGCTAAAAAACAATCCATCAAGGGTCAGAGGGAAATATTCCCCTTACATTGGTGATCAGTGAGAAGTATACCCCCCTTACAGTGGTGGTCAGAATGCCACCCTTTCACACAGTTGAAAGAATTGTTGGTGTCATGCTGCTGACTTTGCCAAGTGACATTGGTCCCAGAACTATGCAGGTATTATCTATTAGGGAGGTCAGTAAGCCACAGCTCAAGGAACCACATCTGGAGGAACCCTGGTTGAAAATGGGTGATCTAGAGACTAAGGCTGGACAGGCAGCCTTGGGCTCAGGAGGGTAGCTGCTATAGCCACATAGATAAGAACCTGAATTGATATTTCTGGCTCTGCTGCTTAGTAAACACCAACATTTGTATTTTATGTGATATTATTCTTCAGATTTTCTTGGTTGGCTTTGTAAAATCTGCCAAAAAGTAAAAGCAAGTTATGGGACATGAATATATTGATGTGCAGGCTTTCCTTCCTTTGGTCCTCAGTATTGCACTCCTCCAGGTTTTGCAGCCTTCCAGGTAGCAACACATTTAGATCAATTACTAATCTTTTTTCTCTTGCAATAGATTTTTATTTTTTCAATATTAATAAAATACAATACAAACACCTCCCAGAAATGCACGGGAGGAAAAGAGGAAAACAACAAAGAAAAATTGCGACATTTCCATCAATGCGGACATATAGGCACATTCCACTGTGACAAACATAAGAAAGGGTACGGCAATAACATTCTGACAGTACAGAAAGGCCCATCACGGAATGATATGTCAACAATGAACTCAACAACCATAATTAAAGAAAATGTAGAATGAGTGAAGGAAAAAAGAAAATATAAAAGTGGGAGTGGGACAAGAGAGAGAGAGAGAAAAAAAAAACTACTGGTAATCTTTTTTTATATTGTGTACAAGATTTCCATGTAGTGTATATTACTACATTTCACCAAACATTTGTAGACATCAATTACACATACTACAGTGCCTTGAAAAAGTATTCATACCCCTTGCAATTTTCCACATTTTGTCATATTACAATCAGAAACATAAATGTATTTTATTGGGATTTTATGTGAGACCAACACAAAGTGGCACATAATTGTGAAGTGGAAGGAAAATGATAAATGGTTTTCAAATTTTTTTTACAAATATATATCTGAAAAGTGTGGCGTGCATTTGTATTCAGCCCCCTTTACTATGATACCCCTGACTAAAATCTAGTGGAACCAATTACCTTCAGAAGTCACCTAATTAGTAAATAGAGTCCACCTGTGTGTAATTTAATGTCAGTATAAATACAGCTGTCCTGTGAAGCCCTCTGAGGTTTGTGAGAGAACATTAGTAAACAAACAGCATCATGAAGGCCAAGGAACACACCAGATAGGTCAGAGATAAAGTTGTGGAGACGTTTAAAGTAGGGTTAGGTTATAAAAAAATATCTCAAGCTTTGAACATCTTACAGAGCACTGTTCAATCCATCATCTGAAAATGGAAAGAGTATGGCACAACTGCAAACCTACCAATGCAAATGTGGAAAATTTTAAGGGGTGTGAATACTTTTTCAAGGCACTGTATATGGATAAAAGTATATGGTCACCTCTTCAAATGATTAAAGTGGTTGTAAAGGCTCAAGGTTTTAAAAAAAAAAAAAAAAAAAAAACCCTTGTGTGCAGCAGCCCTCCCTAATACCTACCTGAGCCCCATCTCTGGGGAATCTCCCTTCTCATTCGCTGAGACAGCAGCAGGACCCAATTAGAAAAGAGAGGGGGCAGGGGCGAACTGTGGCTCTATGTGTGAGTGGACATGCAGAGTAGCGGCTTGGGAGCGAGCCTGCTTGGGTTATTCCTCAGCATTCTGCTTGCTCAATGATCATTTGGCAGGAGAGAGGGGCCAGGAGCGCCGGCGGGGGACCCGAGAAGAGTTGGATCGGGGCCGCTCTGCACTAAACCACTGCACAGAGCAAGTAAGTATAACATGTTTGTCATTTAAAAAAATGGCTTTAACTAGTTGCCAACTGCAGATAGCCAAACGACAGCTACACTGCGGCCGGCCAGTTCTGGGAGGGCGTTATCTGATGTCCTCCCAGAACGTGCTCTCCTGTGCGCCCCTGGGGAGTGAGCACCCAGCGATCTCTGTGATCGCTGTGTCCTATGGACACAGCTGATCACGTGATGTGGTAAAAGGCCAATCGCAGTGGCCTTTTACCACGTGATCAGCCATGTCCAATGACAAGCTGATCACCGGGAAATGCAATTGCCGGTTCTTGGCAGTTGTCAGAGCAGGGATCAGCACTGATTAGTGCCCTGATTATAGGTGCCCAGCAGTGCCACCCACCAGTTCCACCCACCTGTGCCCAGACGTGCCACCAATCAGTACCGCCCAGCAGTGCCTCCAGTCAGTGCCCAGCAGTTCCCCCCACCTGTGCCGAGCAGTGCCACCCACCTGTGCCCAGAAGTGCCACTAGTCAGTGCCTCCAGTCAGTGCCCAGCAGTGGCGCCAGTCAGCGCCACCTCATTAGTGCTGCCTATCAGTGCAGCCTCATCAACGCACATCAGTGAAGAAGAAAAATTACCTGTTTGCAAAATTTTAAAATAGAAACAAAGAAACTTTTTTTTTTTTTTTCAAATTTTTTGCTCTTTTTTTGTTTATAGCGCAAAAAGTAAAACACCCAGAGGTGAGTAAATACCACCAAAAGAAAGCTCTATTTGTGAGGAAACAAATTATAATACTTTCATATGGGTATAATGTTGCATGACCACGCAATTGTCATTCAAATTGTGACAGCGCTAAAAGCTGAAAATTGGCATGGGCAGGAAGGGGGTATAAGTGCCCGGTAGGCAAGTGGTTAGTATCACTTTAAGTCAGGGTGTTCCAGATGAAGGGTACTGTTGATGCTACAGCATGCAAGGACCTTTTGGACAGTTGTGTTTCCAACCTTATGGTAACTGTTTGAAGAAGACCCTTTTCTGTTCCAGCATGAGTCCCTATGAACAAGGCCAGCTCCATAGTTGATGAGTTTGGCGTGGATGTACACAAGACACTTGACTTCTACTCTCCTGAATTGGAAGGGAAATTGTGAGCCAGGTCTTCTCATCCAACGTCAGCACTTCTCCTCACAAATGCTCTTTTGGTTAAATCTGTACAAATTCCTACTGACACACTTCAAATCCTTGTGGAAAGCCTTCCCATGGTTTTGCTATTGGATACCCTACAATCCCATGTACTGTAGACAATATAGTCTGGTGTTCACAGTCCTTTGGCCATATAGTGTATTTATTACATGATGGCTCTACCTGCAATATGAAAGCTTGAAGTTTGATGCAATCCACATAATTTTCCGACTGTCTCTAATGCAGCTGCACAAAAAGAGGTGTTGATGTATCTGTGAAAACGTTTGTTCCATATCCATATGTGTGTACTGTATTATATGGTCCCTAACACAATTGGAGAGTTGTCACAGTCAGCATGTGTTGTTGGTGAGCAGAAAAAAGTGCCAAATGGTAACTCATCTAGAAAAGCTGCCTTTACAGCATATACATGCCTTCCCTGTGCTCAGCTATGAGATGCTTGAGTTATTTCTTAAGCAGCCAATGGGTTATGCAATTTTCTTTCCTTCCAATAGGGGTGGAAGGAGAGAAAATTGCTTGATTTCCCCATCAACGCAGTCAGAGTTGATGGGGGAATCCTTCGCGCAGTGCTATTGTTCTCGTGGGTGGGGAACCTCCCCGTTGACAGAAGACAATGATCACTGCTAGCAGCTATAGTCACCAGCAGCGATCACCTGCAAAAAAAATAATCAGGCTGATTGTATTGAAGTCGATCTAACAATCGACTCCAGTACAATTAGCCTACCAATAGAAGGATCGAAGTTTGGTTGGTTCCTGTAGAACCTGTTGCTCCTTTTCTGACAGTGCTGATTGGCCTATCATTGATACATGGAGTCACATTCTCCTCTATACTTAGGCACATCAGGTATTTGCTTTGCCTCCTTTTGTTGAATAGAGCAGAGAGGAAGCAAAGGAGGCTATAAACTGCTTGCAATTTGGAAGATTCCTCCTGGCTTTGCCAAAACTTTAGCAGTGAATGGCCCTGCAACAGTCTCCTTCCACAAGGCACTGTAGGGGTATTCACACAGCCAGTAGCACCAGCTGTATGCATACAATAGCATGGCCAGCTTTAGTTTCACTGATCTGCCTATATATTTGTGAGCCTAGCAGACTATTCATATAAAATTTATAATCCATTCGTGCAGGCATGAGATTACCAAGCATTGATCACCAACTGCATTTCTTATATGCCAATAATCACACCCCATGATATTATTTTCATCCACATCTTTAGACTTCTAATCATTTTAGCTTTAGGCCCCATGTACACGGAACACTTCTGAACGATGGAAACTGACTGTTGGAAAACGTAGGTTAAAAAACATCTGTTTAGCCATGTTTGCATTATGCGCGTTTACATTTAGAAGCGTTTTTTAAAGATAAGCACAGTATAACCTCCCAAATGCCCAGAAAAGTGGTAACTTATTAACTATTTCAGACTGTTTCAGAAAAATACAGAGTAGAAGCAGAGGCATCAGTATTTGTTGAGATTAGCTTAGGTGTGAGTTGCTCATTAACATTTCTTTTGTTTCCAAGGGTGTGAAAGGTGTTGGGTGGAGGGAGTCAGGAAGGCCACCTGGCAGGGGGTCTTCATGAGGAATTTGAGGTGTAATTGGTCATTAACATATCTTTTCTTTCCAAGGGTGGGAGAGGTCTGAGGTGTGAATTGTTCATTACAAAGTGTGACAAGCTTGGTAGGAACATCCTGTGTTCAGTGTTTTGTCCATCTGAGTACCTTGAAAACGCTTTACATGCATTTTTCATGATGAAAAAAGGTTCTGGAATAGCATAGGGAACTGGAAGAGTTAAAAAAAAATTCCAAATGCAAACGCTTATAAACACGATTTGTCGTGATTAGCCGCATTTACAAGCATTTTGCATTTGAAATGTCTCCCCCTGTGCCCGCCCACACTCCAGTTCATACAGCTTCAGAGGATGTGTGGGCGGGAAACTGAACACAGCAGCTAACAGCTTTGATGCTTCTGAAGCAGTCATGGTGAGTCTGACTTAACCTTCCTTCCACCCCTCCCTTCCTTCCACTCACCCCTCCCTTTCCCCTTACCTTCCTTCCACCCACTTACTCCTCCCTTCCACCCACTTACTCCTCCCTTCCTTCCCCTCACCCCTCCCTTCCCCTTTCCTTCCATCCACCCCTCCCTTCCCCCCTCCTCCCCTCTCCCTTCCCTCACCCCCCCTTCCTTCCACCCACCCCTCTCTTCCTTCCACCCACCCCACCCTTCCTTCCACCCACCTCTTCCTCCCTGCCATCTACCCCTCCCTTCCTTCCACCTACCCCTCCCTCCCTTCTACCCAACCCTTCCTTTCACCTACCCCTCCCTCCCTTCTACCCAACCCTTCCTTCCACCCCTCCCTTCCTTTCATCCACCTCTTCCTTCCATCCACCTCTTCCTTCCACCCCTCCCTTTCTTCCACCTACCCCTCCATTCTTCCCCTCCTTCCTTTATCTGCTCCTTGGAGTATTCTTGTCAGTACAGCCAAAAGCAAAAGTCTATTTGAACCCATTAGAAAATCAAACAAATGTTTTAAAAACTAAAATATTTCAACAAAATTTTACTGGTATATGGTCAGCTTAAGTGACTGTAAAGTGTGCTGAGCAGCAACAATTACATACCACAGGCAGCAATATTTAACTGTTCGCACACTTATCATACACCAGCTGATTGGTGGTCTTATTTTTTACACATTTAATTTGGACAGAAAAACATCTATTCATGTATTTATAGAAGTGTTAATGTCAGGATATAATATACACTTGTAGAATGATATTCCCTGTGTTTGTTGGTCTTCTTGCCATTCTGCAGGTTGTTGTGTGATAGAGCAGTACAGTTTGAGAAGACGCAGAGAATACAGAAAGGGTTGCAGGATGATTGGGCCAAGAACTCAGAGCTGAAGAGACGGAAGGAGGAGGAGGAAGGGCGTTTTATCCGGTAAGTTCAATTACACTATAATCCCAGCTATAGTTACTGGGCTTATAGTATATATAGTTTGGCTGAAAAAAGACAAAAGTCTATCCAGTTCAACCATTAAAAAAAAAAAAAAAAAGTTATAATCCTACACCCACAATTGATCCAGTGGAAGGCAAAAATCCCAGCAAAGCATGGTCCAATTTGCTCCTGCAGGGGAAAAAAAATCCCTTCCTGACCCCCGGAGAGGCAATTGGATATTCCCTGGATCAACTTTAACCTATAAATGTTATATCCAGTTATATTCTGTGTATCCAAGCAAGAATCCAGGACTTTTTTACAGCAACCCACTGAGCTGGCCAGAACCAACTCTTGAGGGAGTCTACTCCACATTTTCACAGCTCTCACTGTGAAGAAACCTTTCTGTGTTTGTTGATTACATATCTTTTCCTCCAGATGTAAAGTGTGCCCCCTTGTCCTCTGTGATGACCTCAGGGTGAATAACTCTACACCGAGTTCACTATATGAACCACTGATGTATTTATACATGAAGATCATATCCCTCCTTATGTATTATACATGGAGATCATATCCCCCTTATGTATTATACATGGAGATCATATCCCCCCTTATGTATTATACATGGAGATCATATCCCCCCTTATGTATTATACATGGAGATCATATTCCCCCCTTATGTATTATACATGAAGATCATATCCCTCCTTATGTATTATACATGGAGATCATATCCCCCTTATGTATTATACATGGAGATCATATCCCCCCTTATGTATTATACATGGAGATCATATCCCCCCTTATGTATTATACATGGAGATCATATCCCCCCTTATGTATTATACATGGAGATCATATCCCCCCCTTATGTATTATACATGGAGATCATATCCCCCCTTATGTATTATACATGGAGATCATATCCCCCCTTATGTATTATACATGGAGATCATATCCCCCCCCCCCCCCCCCCTTATGTATTATACATGGAGATCATATCCCCCCTTATGTATTATACATGTTGATCTTATCCCCCCTTATGTATTATACATGTTGATCATATCCCCCCTTATGTATTATACATGTTGATCATATTCCCCCCCTTATGTATTATACATGGTGATCATATCGCCCCTTATGTATTATACATGGAGATCATATCCCCCCCATATGTATTATACATGGAGATAATATCCCCCCTTATGTATTATACATGTTGATCATATCCCCCCTTATGTATTATACATGGAGATCATATTCCCCTTATGTATTATACATGGTGATCATATCGCCCCTTATGTATTATACATGGAGATCATATCCCCCCCATATGTATTATACATGTTGATCATATCCCCCATTATGTATTATACATGGTGATCATATCGCCCCTTATGTATTATACATGGAGATCATATCCCCCCCATATGTATTATACATGGTGATCATATCCCCCTTATGTATTATACATGGAGATCATATCCCCCCTTATGTATTATACATGGAGATCATATCCCCCCTTATGTATTATACATGGAGATCATATCCCCCCTTATGTATTATACATGGAGATCATATCCCCCCTTATGTATTATACATGGTGATCGTATCCCCTTATGTATTATACATGGAGATCGTATCCCCCCTTATGTATTATACATGGAGATCATATCCCCCCTCATGTATTATACATGGAGATCATATCCCCCCTCATGTATTATACATGGAGATCATATCCCCCCTCATGTATTATACATGGAGATCATATCCCCCCTCATGTATTATACATGGAGATCATATCCCCCCTCATGTATTATACATGGAGATCATATCCCCCGTTAATCTCCTCTTCTCAAGAGAGAATAAATTCAGTTCCTCTAATCTTTCCTCATAGCTGATCTCCTCCATGCCTCTTATCAGATTGGTTGCCCTTCTCTGTACTTTCCAGCTGGTAAAGAAATACAGAATTCAGGACACAGGGCCAGCCTGCAAGATTAGACAGCTGCTGCAGAAAAGCATTAGTAATATTCCTTTACATCTTCTGTAGTTGAGTGTGGGGTTATTTATTACAGTGCTTACACAGCACTTCACATATTGTGCATTCACATCAGCCTCTGCCCCCAAGGAGCTTACAATCTAAGGCGGGTCATACATGGTTAATTTTTTTCTGAGTGAGGCAGAGTGAGGAATCCTCCCCGCTGTGCCAATGTATTCTGACAACAGGACTCCTCTGCTGTCAGAATATACTGATCAACAAAAGTTTTCCAACTGTCCCGTTCAACAGAAGGCAAGTGTTAGGTCTACTTCTGTAAAGCGAGAACAGCCATAGATGGATCAAAATTTCTCCGATCCCTGCTGAATTCATCTATGGGCAGGTTAAAAGGATAATAAACAGATATTCATGTCAGTCTTTGTAAAATATAAAGAGCTGAGAAATTGTGAGACCATGGAATAAGAATGGATTTACACTCACTGGCCTCTTTATTAGGTACACCTGTTCAGTTGCTTGGTAACACAATACGCTAATCAGCCAATCACATGGCAGCAACTCAATGCATTTAGGCATCTAGACGTGGTGAAGTCGACTTTCTGAAGCTCAAACTGAGCGTCAGATTGGGGAAGAAAGGGGATTTAAGTGACTTTGAACGTGGCATGGTTGTTGGTGCCAGACGGGATGGTTTGAGTATTTAAAAAACTGCTGATCTACTGGGATTTTCACACACAACCATCTCTAGGGTTTACAGAGAATGGTCCGAAAAAGAGAAAATATCCAGTGAGCTGCAGATGTATAGACAAAAATACCTTGTTGAGGTCAGAGGAGAATGGGCAGACTGGTTTGAGATGATAGAAAGGCAACAGTAACTCAAATAACCACTCATTACAACCAAGGTATACAGAATACGTTCTCTGAACGCACAACATGTCAAACCTTGAAGCAGATGGGCTACAGCAGCAGAAGACCACACCGGGTGCCACTCCTGTCAGCTAAGAACAGGAAACGGAGGCTACAATTCACACAGGCTCACCAAAATTGGACAATAGAAGATTGGAAAAATGTTGCCTGGTCTGATGAGTCTCAATTTCAGCTGCAACATTCAGATGGTAGGGTCAGAATTTGGCGTAAACAACATGAAAGCATGGATCCATCCCGCCTTGTATCAACGGTTCAGGCTGAAGGTGGTGTAATGGTGTGGGGGATATTTTCTTGGCACACTTAGTACCAATTGAGCATCATTTAAACATCATGGCCTACCTAAATATTGTTGCTGACCATGTCCATCCCTTTATGGCTACAGTGTCCCCACCTTCTGACTTCCAGCAGGATAATGCACCATGTTACAAAGCTCAAATCATCTCCAGCTAGTTCCTTGAACATGACAATGAGTTCACTGTACTCCAATGGCCTCCACAGTCACCAGATCTCAATCCAATAGAGCATCTTTGGGATGTGGTGGAACAGAAGATTCGCACCATGGATGTGCAGCCGACAAATCTGCAGCAACTGTGTGATGCTATCATGTCAATATGGACCAAAATCTCTGAGAAATGTTTTTAACACCTTGTTGAATCTATGCTATGAAGAATGAAGGCAGTTCTGAAGGCAAAAGGAGGTCCAACCCGGTACTAGCAAGGTGTACCTAATAAAGTGGTTTAGATACAACAGATAAAATCCAGGTTTGGGGTAGTTCAGCTTATTGACACAGTAGCAGTACATCCCTGCCATTTCCATTCACACTGTGGCAGAAAGCCCATGCGAACGTAGCCTAATAGTCCTGCATTGTTCAGCAGGTGAGGTGTAGACTAAGGCAAGTACTACAGTCTTTTCATAGCCCCCTCAGACCTAATGAACATTTAACCCTTGCCGTGCATGGGATACTTGTTCCATTTCAGTGACTGACAGGGTATTGAAGTCAGAGGTTCAAAGTGACAGACTGACAGCTTTCATTTTCAGAAAGGCGGCAAAAAATCTTCAACTTCCACATTAAAAAAATCAACCTGACATATTTGTTTTTTTTGCTACTCCAGGTCTAGTAGTGACCTTCTTCTAGATCAGTTCGAGAAGTATCGCCGCTGTTTCCAGTGCAAGAGACGCACATCAAATTGTGGAGAGACCAACATTTGGTGTGAGACGCGCTATATCCCAGGATCCCGCCTGATGGTTTAATCACTGCTGTCTGTTCCTCCGTAAAGTTTGTTTATTCATAAAGCATAACTGTCACTTTGTACCTCCTGTCCTAATCATGTTATTTCAAATGAGTAGTTCTGCATTCTAATTACATTTGGATTATGAAGCTTGAAAACACTCTTCTACCTCTATCTCCGCTATGGTCGTGACAGCGGCCAGTAGAGCTAATTGGGTCTGTGGCGGTATTGGGATATGTACTGAAACATTGGAAACAGATTGTGCCTTAAAAAAATGGAAAAACAGTGTGCAGACTAATTAGTGACTTGAATCAAGCACTGTCTGATGTCTAAACCAAAATAAAGGTTTGTTCAATATGCACAAAGTCTTCTGTTCCTCTGCTTCCTCATTAACGCAGGATTGCTAGTTTAATTGGACTTTGACATTGTGTTAACAAATAAATATTTAACTTTAATAGACAAAGTATACACTACTAAAGAAATGAAAATAACACTTTTTAATCAGAGTATAGCATCAAGTCAATTAAACTCCTGGGATATTGATCTGGTCAGGTAAGTAGCAGAGGGGGTTATTAATCAGTTTCAGCTGCTTTGGTGTTAATGAAAGGTGGGCAATAATGAGATGACCCCCAAAACAGGAATGGTTTTACAAGTGGAGGCCAGTGACATTTTTTCCCTACTCCTCTTTTCTGACTGTTTTTCACTAGTTTTTCCTCACGTATCACCAATTTCCTAACAGACATATCAGAGTGGATGTCACACCAATTCCTAAAACTCAGTCTATTCAAAACTGAGCTCATAATATTTCCTCCCCCACATGCCTCTTCCTGTAATTTCTCGGTCAGGATCAATAGCACCACTATCAACCCATCCCTGCATGTCAGAGTTCTAGAGGTAACCCTGGATTCTGAACTATCCTTTCAGGCCCACATCCAATCCCTTTCCAAATCAATGCGCATCAACCTCCACACCATCTCCAGAATACGCCCCTTTTTAATCAATGATACCACAAAGCTCCTAATTCACTCCCTGGTTATCTCTCGCCTCAACTACTTCAACCTGCCCCCTATTGTGTGCCCCGGACGTTACCCTTGTTGCCCCGATCAAGTGTCCCACATCCCTCAATAAAAATCTTGTGTGCCCACTGCTCTCCGTGTGTGTTCTGTTCTGCCCACACCTCCGTCACAGACCCAGTCTGTGCATTTGAACCCAGCGCTACTCACTGGCATGTGTTCAAATGCAAAACATCAACATTTGACAACACTTATGTACACAAGCCCTTACACACAATGCAATTCACAAATGCCGCTGCTAAAACACACACAAACACACACACACACATGAAATGCTCATGGATGGCTGCTGTGGCTTCACTGCAGATTCTCAGTAGGGATCCAAACGTGTTGGTCCTGCAGCGCAGGTGAGGAAACTGCTGAACATATTCTGGGGAGTGGTGCTGTTTAATTTTAAATGGAAAATCCTGCAACAACAAAACAACAATCATCTTCTAGTAGTAAGTATACCAAAAGCAGTCTATTCTCTTAGGGCACATTCACACCAGTGTACTGGGAAAGCATATGTTTTTGTTAAAACACATAAAGCACTTTTAAAGTGGTACTAAAGCCTTCACGTTTTTCAGAAACATAGATATGGATAAATGTTGCACGGGACAATGATTACTACCAGAAAAGTTCATAAACACATTATTTTAAAGCTGCAACCTCCTGCGTCCTCTGCTCCACATGTCAATGCAGGCATCATCATCACATCATCCTGTAGTTCTCTCCAGACAGCGCTTATGAAAGCACAGCTACAGCGGGTCTCCATAGGACCCTGCAAGGCAATATAACCACACTTAAAGTGGTAGTAAACAACAACAAAAAAATTGGCCCCTGCAGGAGAATGTCATAACGCACTAGTATGCAATGCACATTACTAGCACATTATGGAAGAATTACCTGAAAACGAAGCCCTCCAGCAACATGTGCTGTCACCGCTGACATGGCTTCCATCTTCACTCAGTCTTCCTTCTCTGGGTTTACATGCCTTGACCATTTGATTGGCTTTCAGGCTTGTTAAATTTCCACAGATGCAGAGTGATGTGTGTGTCCTCTGCACGCTGCACTACCCTGGCCCCCACGCACGCTGCACACTACCCTGGCCTCTCCACACTCTACGTGCTGCATTACTGGCCACCCCCTGCGTGCTGCATTACCCTGGCCACCCCCACTCTGCATTACCCTGGCCACCCCCACTCTGCCCCTCCACACCCTCATTACCCTGGCCACTCTGCATTACCCTGGCCACCCCCACTCTGCATTACCCTGGCCACCCCCACTCTGCATTACCCTCCACCCCCACTCTGCATTACCCTGGCCACCCCCACTCTGCATTACCCTGGCCACCCCCACTCTGCATTACCCTGGCCACCCCCACTCTGCACTATCCTGGTCCCCCGCAAGCTGCACTACACTGGCCCCCCACACGCTGCGTGCTACATTACCCTGGCCCCCACACTCCGCAATTTACACTGCCCTCTGTATGTTACTTTCCAGACCCCTGCACATTGGACATTCCGCTTCTGAATCACCCAGGACACTGCCACTCTATCAGTGCATTCAACTCTGCCCTAAGTGTTTCATCTAATCGGACATCATTGGGGCTGGCCACACTGATGAACTCTCTCTATTTTAAGGCAACTACCAGACACACTCCTCCCAGATCCCTGCCTTCTGTGTTACATTGTCCTGAACCCTTCCCTCTGTATGTTACATTGTCCTGACCCCCACATTGTGTCCATTACACTTTCCTGCCCTCTGCATGTTACACTTTCCTGTCCCCTGTACAATCAGGACTGGTTTCTCATTTAGTGGGACTATTCTTTTTAGATCTGCCTCAATATGTTGTATACTTTTAAAAGGGTGCCGTGACTGAAAAAAGATTGCGAAACACAGCTTAAAAAGGACACTTAAGATGGCCATACACTAGTAGAATTTTTGTTTTAAGAACATCCGTTCTATTTTCTAATTGTGGGATCAAATTGACAATTGTATTGCCAACTTTAAACTAGCTTTCACCAATGGGAGCAAGAGCAACTGAGAAAACGAAGGCACTCTTCCATTAAATCTGATCATCCAGGTTAAATACATTTAAAGAGGATCTTTGGCCACCTCTCCAACCCCCCCCAACCTTCCCCAACCGTATGGCTTAGGTGGCACATTCCTGATACTCACCCACCCAGAGGATACAGCGTTGTCCTGCCGAGATTTTCTTGTCTCTCTGTCCTGCGCCACCATGGTCTTGTGCAACGTCATTTGAAGGCCCGCCGTCTCTCCCTGGTTCAGCTTGAGCGCCTCCTGATGATGTGGCACTAGGCCCGTTCCCCTCCACCTTTCTGAATGAAGTGATATGCCTCCTGGGATATGTGAAGTGCATATCCCAGGAGGCAAAAGGAGGACCTTGCTCTGCATTCACCTAGGCAGCGGTAGGGGAGGGAAGTCTCCACTGAGGGTGAAGATCCACTTTGAGAAACTGTGATTGAACAGACATCATTTCAAAATTTTAAACCCAGTAGAGCAATCCGATAACTACCATGGATTCTTCAATTTGAAGGCGCCAGTGCTTGACTGAAAACAGCGGATCAGGTGATTCAACTGAACTGAAATGGAAACTGAAGAATCGGATTTGCTATGTGTATGGTCATTATCAGAATTAACTGAAGACTGCGGTTCCATCCAGAAAATCTGGAATTATAGAGGACATCTTAATTTGGTGTCACGTTCTCCAATCACTTGAATATCTTCTGCCTTGACCTCCACACTCTGCTTGGTGCCGATACTACTCACCAGAGCCCCCGACACTTCCACCGCACTACCGAAACTGATGGAGCTAAAAGGAAACAAATGGAGGCATATTAGAGAGACAATGAACAGCTTTACAATCTTTATACAATAATCCTATAAACCTGTAACCTGTTTGATGCCAGAGCTGTTTTTTTGCATTTTTTTTTTTTTTTTTTAAATCATTTTAGGCCTGATAATTTCATAAAACCCCCAAAACATTACATATTTTTCTGAAAGCAGACACCCCTACAGAATAAAATAGCAAAATAGCAGTAGTTTCAAGGGAGGATTTGCGACCTGCGTTTGGGGTGTTAACAATGCACTGACACCTGCAGCAGATTGAAAGGGCAGTGCTTTTTTTTTTTTTTAAATTCCATAATGTTTTGGCAGTGCTTTTTTTAATGTGGTGTGGAAAAACGCGCATGGATCACGGGTTTCCTGCACTGCGTTCTTGCGTGGACCAGGGCATGAGCTTTTTCTAAAAAAAAAAAAAAAAAAAAAATAGAAGTTGATTGGTTGCCATGCACAACTGCTCCAGTTTTGATAAATTCCCCCTATTGCGACTTTGAAAGAAGAATACCTTAACACCTTCCATTCGGCCTATAGGAGATTGACGGCCGGGCGCGACGACGCTCCTCCTTCTGGGTGGATGTCATATGACGTCCTGTCAGAAGGTGCCACTCAAGCAGCCGTGCAGCAGCGTGATCTGTCTCTGACTGTGCCCACGGGACACAGCTGATGACAGATCACTACACCGGCCCGCTGTCAGAATGCATGAAGGTAAAAAAACCTCGAGCCTGTAAAAACACTTTAAAGATAAAAAATTACGAGGATAAAAACAAAAAAAAATTTATTTAACCCACTAAGCTCCTGTAAGTTCTAAGCAAGTTCTATGTTGAAGGTTTGGCAGTCCCAGGCAAAATGCTTATCTTTGACACATAGTTCATTTATTTTAGTCATTCATACAGTGCTGATATATTCTGCAGAGCATTATAGACAATGCTGAGCCATTCACAGCAATCTCTGACCTGAGAGAGCTCACAGTCCATATCGAGGAAAGACATTTAGGCCTCATTCACAAGAGGTGTACTAAACCATACGCTCATGCATGTTTAGCACTTCCACCTGGCACTACTAGAGTTGTGGGTTCGAATCCCAACCCCGGCACCACCTGCCTGGA